AGGACCCCCAGGGATGGAGCAGTGGGATAGTGGGGACTGACCCACAGGGATGTAAGGGATGGTGTGATAAGGTGAGACCCCCAGGGATGGAGCAAAGGGGGGTGGAGGACCCCCAGGGATTCAGAGAAGGCAGTAACAAGGTGATGGGGGAGAAATAGGGTGATGGGGGACCCCCAGGGATAGAGCAGTGAGATACTGGAGACCAACCCCCAGGGATGTGAGGGATGGAGCAATAGGGTGAGACCCTTAGGTCTCAGGACCCCTAGGGATTCAGAGGAGGGAGCAATGGGGGGCAGAGGACCCCCAGAGGTGGAGGACTCCCAGGGATGGAGCAGTGGGATACAGGAGACCAACCCCCAGGGATGCAAGGGATGGAGCAATAGGGTGAGACCCCCAGGGATGGAGCAAAGGGGTGTGGAGGACCCCTAGGGATTCAGAGAAGGGAGCAATGGGGTGATGGGGGACCCCCAGGGATGGAGCAGTGGGATACTGGGGACCAACCCCCAGGGATGTGAGGGATGGAGCAATAGGGTGAGACCCTTAGGTCTCAGGACCCCTAGGGATTCAGAGGAGGGAGCAATGGGGGGCAGAGGACCCCCAGAGGTGGAGGACTCCCAGGGATGGAGCAGTGGGATACAGGAGACCAACCCCCAGGGATGCAAGGGATGGAGCAATAGGGTGAGACCCCCAGGGATGGAGCAAAGGGGTGTGGAGGACCCCTAGGGATTCAGAGAAGGGAGCAATGGGGTGATGGGGGACCCCCAGGGATGGAGGACTCCCAGGGATGGAGCAATTGGGCATGGGGGACCCCGAGAGACACAAAGGATGGAGCAATAGGGTGAGGGAATGTAGGGGGGAGCCCCAAGGATGGAGCAATGGGGTGGGGGGGACTCCAGGGATGGAGAGGATACAGCAACAGGGTGATGAGGGACCCCCAAAAATGCAGGGGATGGAGCAATAGGGTGATGTGAGACCCCTGGGGATGGAGCAATGGGGTATGGGGGACCCCAGGGATGGAGGGGAGGGAGCAATGGGGCATGGGGGACCCCAAGGATGCAGGGGGTGGAGTGACAGGTTAACAGACATGCAAGGATGGGGCCACAGGGTGATGAGCACCCCCAGAGACACAGGGGACAGATCAGTGGGGTGATGGGGACCCCCAGGGACAGCAGGCACAGAGCAAGGGGACAATGGGGATGCAAGGGGGGGTGCCAGGGACCCCCAGGGATGCTGGGCAGAGAGCAGTGGGGCGACGGGGACACATGGGGATACCCAGGGACATGGCATCAAGCAATGGTGTAGTGGGGACACCCGGGGACAGTTATGGGGCAACGGGGATGCTTGGGGATACCCGGGGACACAGTTATGGGGCAATGGGGATGCCTGGGGACCCCTAGGGACATGGCATCAAGTAATGGCATAGTGGGGACACCCAGGGACACAGTTATGGGACAATGGGGATGCTTGGGGACACCCAGGGACACAGTTATGGGGCGATGGGGACCCTTGGGGACACCCAGGGACATGGCATCAAGCAATGGTGTAGTGGGGACACCCAGGGACACAGCTATGGGGCAGTGGGGATGCTTGGGGACACCCGGGGACACAGTTATGGGGTAATGGGGATGCTTGGGGACACCCGGGGACACAGTTATGGGGTAATGGGGATGCTTGGGGACACAGTTACGGGGCAAAGGGGATGCTTGGGGACACCCGGGGACACAGTTAGGGGGCAACGGGGA